GCACCATGTCCTAGTAATTTTCCTGGGCAGTAAGTTTCCAGAATCTGGCAGAATGGACAACAGGTGTAGAATTTAGGGTATCTCAGCTTTACTAAAAGTAAGTTTTAAAAAATGCAGGTAACTTCTATAGAGTGTTTCAGCATTTGAGGGATGGAGTGTGTATATTTTCTGTGTCTATAGCTCGGCTGCATCAAGAATGCCTTCCAGTCATTTCCCCCTTACACATAAAAGCTTTTTTTTGCTTGAAAGTTGTTCTTTCTATTCCTCCTGCAGTAACTTCAATTTAAGACATCTGAGATTTATGCATAGGACCAGGACAAAAGGGTTAGAGCTAGTGTTCTTCAGTCAGTAGCAATTTGGTGTAATTAAGGTTTCCCCTCTAAATCAATTTTGATTTAAGTTTTAGTCATTAGATTAAAAGGTGACCTCTCTTTCCCGGCACAGAGGCACAAACAAATATTTAATCCTGGCACTTATCTGACACAGGCAAGTTTTCATTATGTGAGAGAGTCTCCTTTTGGATCTGTGTGGCATATTAATATATATGTTTGTTCATCAGAGACACAGAGCACGGAGCCTCTGCTTGCGCTGATGATGTCATTGGAGGCCAAGGTTTGTGATGAACATGGCGCAGATTAACAGTGCAAGTGAACCAGATGGTCCTGGTTAACAGGTCTTGTTGCTCCCAGTTAGGCAAGGCCATTGTGTAAGTATCTGGAGACCTCATGTACCCAAAGCAGCTGCCCTTGAAATAGCATAAATAAGGAATCTATGCAAAAACTGGTGGCGTATCTAGTGCATATAAATTTTTCTATAAGTTTTGTAGGCCTTTAAAATGGCTGAGGAGACATAAACCACAAAACAACTGTCATTTTACCATTTTGCCAAGATTCAGCCCAAATCCTGCCTGTGATCCAGTGGTAACACCAGAATAAATATTTGGGGTGGGAGTTGGGAGCCAAGAAGGGGCATGATTCATTTTTTTTGCATGAGGAGGAGGTAAATTTTGCCCTGCATGTTAGTGCTCTAAAAGCGAAATAACAAAATATGTCACATTTCACATCCCCATCCCTAAATATTTTATCCATATTTATTTAAAAGTATTTCTAAACTGCTCAGTATTTTAAGCATTACTAAGTGGTGTACAACAGTATAAAACATAAAAAAACACACTACAGTATAACAAACAGAGATAAAACGTTGGCTTTGACGTCATTAGCTAAGTAAGTGTACTGGGAAACACAGCAAACTGCCTTATATACTGAGCCTGACCATTGGTTTATCTAACTTAGTCATGTCTGCACTGACTGGCTAGCCAGGATTTCAGGAAGTGTGATGCTGGGAATTGAACCCGGAAGCTAATTTTGCCTGCAAAACAGATTCTCTCCCATTCAGCCATCCAAGTTTCCTGGCATCTCCAAGTGGGGCTGGAAATGTCCCCTGCCTGAAACCCTGGAGAGCTGCTGCCAGTCAGTGTAGGCAGTCTTGAGCTAGACAGCCATATTTTTGTTTCCAGTTTTGTTTCAGTTTTAATTTCCTGCTGCTGGAAAAATCCCCCTTCCCTCCTGATTAACAAATAAAAAAACCTATTTCATTTGCCCTGCAGTAGCAGGCATGTAAACAGGCTTGTTGCTTCTCATTTCCTGTTGTCTTTGGCGGTTGTTTGACATTGTCAGTTGCTTGGAAGGGAGCCCATCTGCTTCCTTCCAGCTCCAAAGTTATCCCCCCCCCCCCAGCTCTGTTACCAACAAACAGAAGTGAGCCCTTGGGAAGCTCATGTATTTTGACTGATGATAATAAAAAAAGGCACTCCAAGGATGTGAAAACTGCCTGTCAGTCAACTCGCCACGGGGGTCTAGCAATGGCAGAACTGCTGCCGGGGTCTTGTCCCCAGACCCCCTGGCATTGAATAGGCTGCGCTCAGTCCAAAAAATATTTGATGTAATTACTGTATTTTTCGCTCCATAAGACGCACTTTTTCCCTCCTAAGAAGTAAGGGGGGATGTGTGTGCGTCTTATGGAGCGAATGCAGGGGGGAGGCAGGCAGGAAAAGCCCCCAAGAGCCGCACACAAGCTCCACGCGGCTCTTGCGGGCTTTTCCCCAGGAGGGAGAAGGGACTGACGTGGCCAGTCAGTCCCTTCTCCCTCCTCTTAGAAAAGCCCGCAGGAGCCGCGCACTCCTTAAAGGGTGTGCGGCTCCTGTGGGCTTTTGCGGGAGGTGGGGGAATTGCCATAGCCACGCGCAGCCTCTCCCAGCCGGAGAGGGGGCGCACGGCAAAAGAGGAAGCCAAGACAGCCAGCGGGATGGATCCCGCTCGCTGTCTTGGCTTCTTTGCTCTTTGGGGCTGGGAGGGGGGAAACCTGAGCTTCCCCCAGCAGCCCCGAGAAGCTCTGGGAGAAGCAGACAGGCTTCCCCCCCCCCTTGATTTCCCCCTCTAAAAACTAGGTACGCCTTATGGTCCGGTGCGACTTATGGAGCGAAAAATACGGTATAAAGAAGGGCTCCCCTGAGCATGTACAATGCGCTCTTCCATCAATGAACTCAACCATTTCGCAATCTGGGATTAGATGTGGTGTATTCATTAAGGCTAGAACTGGAGAAATTCAAATTTAAAGCCCTACTAAGCTATGATGCTCACTGAGCAATTTGGGCTAATTACTATCTCTCAGGCCTACCTTTTTCTCACAGGGTTGTTGTTAGGGATAAAATGGAGATCCATGCACACTGTCCAGAGCTCCTTGGGGGAATTCAGGGTATAAAAATAATCCATGCATAAATCAGTTGGGGTTGGCTTCCATGGCACAGGAAATGAAGGTGGTGAGCTGTTGTAGCCTTGACTGGCTCTTCACAGCCCTCATTGAGATGCATAAAAGGAAAGGGGGATGCCAACCAATGGTGTCAGGACCAATGGGTCCTCTTGGCCTTGGCATTTGCAGAGCCCTGTTGGCAGGGCGCTGATACTGGGCCTGTTGGCAAGCTCAAAGGACAGAATCTCTCCTTGATGTTTGTAATTCGAATATAGCACTTTACTGGGTGTGGTGTTCAGATGCAAAGGACTGCAAGGCTCCTTCACCTTTCATGGAGAACCAGTGTGGTGTAGTAGTTAGAGCAGTGGTTCTGAAACTTGTTTTCTCTGGGTCACACTTTCAGAATAAAAATTTGCTCACGCCACATGAAATGTTTTATTGATAAGAAATACATTGGAAAGAAAAAATCAACAGCTCCTAGCAGTGCTTGATTTAGAACACAGAACACAACAGAAAGTATAAAACAATGCAGCTACATACGAACATGAATCATAATATAATGATAAACAAGCCTCTTCCATATACAGTCATACCTCGGAAGTCAAACGCCTTGTGAGTCGAACATTTTGGCTCCCAAACGCCGCAAACCCGGAAGTGAGTGTTCCTGTTTGCTAATATTCTTTGGAACCCGAATGTCTGACGCAACTTCCAATTCGCTGCAGGAGCTTTCTGCAGCGAATTGGAAGCAGTGCCTTGGTTTTCAAACATTTTCAGAAGTCGAATGGACTTTTGGAACGGATTCCATTTGACTTCCAATGTACAACTGTATAGCTTAAAATATGCATACAAACTCAATGAGAGAGCCTCACCTGCTTTTGTCAAGTAATCTCATTTATTTTAGGTCTGAGTCAAACTCTCATCTCCACATCAACGCAAAGAAGCCTTTCTCTTTTCTGACCTTTCATATTTGTCAGAGGTGAAAATCCCTGTTCACGACAATATGTTGTGGAGAGCTGTAGAATACTGTAATAGCCAATGCCCTTGAAGAGAGGTGTGGGTACTGTTTCTGGCTGTATATCCAAAATAAATTATTTTCATACTATACTATGCTATGCTGAAAGGTTTAAATGTTTCTTTTATTGTCCTTGAATATTCTCACCTTATTTGTGATCCTCCCCTTCCACACCAGTGTGACATGCCACACCCTTTGAGAACTACTGGGTTAGAGTGGTGGACTAAGACCTGGGAGGCCATGGGTTCAAATCCCCACTCAGGCATGAAGCTTGACCTTGGGCCAGCCACTGTCTCTCAACCTAACTTACCTCACAGGAATGTTGTGGGGTGGTGGTGGTGAATGAGGTGGGGGGCAACCATGTGCCCCCACTTCCAGCTCTTCATAGAAAAACGTGTTCTAGAAATGCAATAAACAACTAATAGCTAAAACTTAACAAGCTCTGAAAATAGCAGGGATTGGGAGAAAGTGCTTCTCTCCCTCTGAGGGGAAAATAATTGTACATTGCAGTACATACCAGAGAGGGCAAGTGGGTTCAGTGGCAGAAAACAAACCCCTCAGAGGAAGCAAAACCCGTTTTGTGACCAGAGTGGAGCAAATGTGAGCCCTTAAGGTGACAACAGTATAGGGAGCAAAACAAAAAGAGGCAAAACCTCTCTTAGCTGGCTGGCACGTTTGCAGGGCTCATTACGAAATGTCCACTGTGTTGGTGGAAAAAACAATCTTTGCTACACGGTGTTATTGGGAAAACACCAGTGGTAATTACTTCCTGGGGAAATATTTCCTTCATTTTTACAATGCAAATCAATCTAGACTGGCGAATGTAGTCATCTACTTCTGATATATCTATCCAGGTTACCCTGAAGCAAATCCCTCTGGCAGAGAAGATGGTCGTGGCTGCTGACTTGCCGAAGTTTTGCTCTGAGGACGTAACCTAGCTTGATAGAGTCCTGTTCCATAAGGAACTATCAGCACTTTCACACAGGTTTGGCCTGGCAAACTCTTCCAAATAAATAATGTCAACGGTTTATTTAGCATTCATCCTGCTTTCCTTCTACAAAGCCTACAAAACTATGGGTCCCTCCTGACGATACCGCTTGCAATATGTTTTGCACCTGCAAATGTTTTAGGGAGGATGTACTGCTTTGTTTTCAATCTGTGCACATCCTGTAGAATTTCCACTCTGCTTTTATGATGATGATAAGCATTCATCCTAATTTGCTTGCAGGGTGTTTGTTAAGGGTTCTGAGAGTTGTTAAAGAGACTCCTTTTCCCCTCACAGAGCTACAGTCTCCAGAGTTCCCTGAGAAGAGGGACTGGTTGTTAAACTACTCTGGAAATTGTAGCTCTGTGAGGGGAGAAGGGGTCTCATAACTACTCTCAGTGCCCTGAAGGAACTACAGTTCCCAGGATTCTCTGCGGGAAGCCACAACTATTTAAAGTGGTTTCATGCTGCTTGAAATTCATAGTGCAGATGGAGTCTTATGCACATTTACTCAGAAGCAAATCCTGCTAAATTCAATGGGGTTTACTCCTGAGTGAGCATGCCTAAGAGTGCAGTTGTGCAGTGCAATGCTATGTATATTGGGAAGTAAATCCCACTTTGCTTAACAGGACTTATCAAGGTAAGTGCATGTGAAAGGCTGCAAAGCAAGTCTTGAAATTTAGAGGGAGAGGTATTATGATGTATTTATACTAGGGCGTACTGCGCAGAGGAAAAGGCAGACTTTTAAGGTTTTCTAAATGATCTCTACTGGTCTCCTTCAGTGTTTATGCTGCAGCAACAAGAAGAGCCAAACACAGCTAATTTCATCTAGATTTCTGGCCAATGTCAGCAAATGTGATAGGCAAAACAGTTAATTGAGTTGAAGACGAAGACCAGGCAGGCAATATTATAATAATTGCCTTGCTTAATTTGCTGGTTTCTTAATTTCATTTTGATTCTTGATCAAAGCTGGTTTGGCTTTGATGTCCCCTTCTCCAATGTGCTTATTTCTGCTCATAAAACATCTGTTCTCTACATAATTAGAAAATTGAGATAATGTAAGGAAGAAACACATCTTTAGAAAACAAAGGATTTAGCTGGTTTTAAAATAACAACTCAGGCAGCACAATGGCAATTTATTCATGTGCATTCTGATAAATACAAGTGGGATCTGCAACAGACTGTTACAGTGTTCGTAGTTTCAGCCAGCCAGCCAGCCAGCCAGCCAGCCAAACTTTTTTCCAGGATACGCCATTACATTACATTCCACTCCCCCTGCCTGTTTTTCCATGCTTCCTAGCCTCAAAAAAGTCCACATTCCAGGACAACTGAGCATACTAAGTTCTCACTGAATTGTTGGGAGGTTTTTTGGGGGGGACGGGGCCCCTCCCTCCTTTGAATGGATAGCAGCATTCTGGCTATGTAAGGATCCACGCTTAGAGAATGTGTGTTTGCTGTAAGAGCACTTCCCTAGACAGCAACTTAAAAAGCAGAGACATCACCTTGCCAACAAAGGTCCGTATAGTTAAAGCTATGGTTTTCCCAGTAGTGATGTATGGAAGTGAAAACTGGACCATCAAGAAGGCTGATCGCCGAAGAATTGATGCTTTTGAATTATGGTGCTGGAGGAGACTCTTGAGAGTCCCATGGACTGCAAGAAGATCAAACCTATCCATTCTGAAGGAAATCAGCCCTGAGTGCTCACTGGAAGGACAGATCGTGAAGCTGAGGCTCCAATACTTTGGCCACCTCATGAGAAGAAGACTCCCTGGAAAAGACCCTGATGTTGGGAAAGATGGAGGGTACAAGGAGAAGGGGACGACAGAGGATGAGATGGTTGGATAGTGTTCTCGAAGCTACCAACATGAGTTTGACCAAACTGCGGGAGGCAGTGGAAGACAGGAGTGCCTGGCGTGCTCTGGTCCATGGGGTCACAAAGAGTCGGACACGACTAAACGACTAAACAACAACAACAAAGAGCACTTCCAGACTGTCACTATTTTCAGGTGGAATTCAGGCAGGTATGGGCAAATTCAGGCTGCATGATTAAGTGTGATTGGGAGGCCTTGCACAACAAACCTGCTTCCCTGAAAGGCTGGTCTTCTTGTGCTAAGGAAAGTGATGGGGAGATGCAGCGGAAAAGGTGGGATGGTGCTTGCTTTGATGCAACATCATCTAACCTCCCCAAAAACAAATCAGATTGGATGCTCATTAAATAGTCCACCTCATTTAACCTCAGGATGCATGCTCAGTGCACAGATCATCTGGAAGCATTCTAAATAGGATGGTACCATTGAAAACAGTACTGATTTCTTTATTCATTTTGCATATATGGCTCCCTCTGGTGGAAAAAAATGATTAGAGAAAGAGTATTAAGGGGGAAATGAGAGCATAATGTTTAGGGCCAGTTTAAACATGGATACTGACCACTACTTTGTGGTCTCTCGTCTACACTATTCCTCCCAGGCATGGAATTGTGTGGAGGAAGCACTGAGAGAATCAGTTTGTTTGTCATGTTTGCTGCAACCATGCAAGTGGCTTAAGCCTGTATTTCCTGCCAGAGGTTTCCACTCCAGCATAACATTCCTGCTGCTTCCCTGTTCATGAGGCACACAGAGCTCATCCCCCAGCCTGTAGCAGTGCCACCATTTATCCCCTTTGTGCCATGAGGTTTCATATTTCTTTTGGGATGACGTCTTAAACTTCTTGCCTTTCGCTTTCATGACTCGGTGCTAAAGCACCTGCTTTGCAGCCAAAAGGTACCACGTTCTATCCTGCAGCATCTCCGGGTACGACTGGGAGAGACGCTTGTCTGAAATCCTGGATGGCAGAGCTGGCAATACTGTTATGAAGCCTGCAAACCAATCTCTACCAAGCAATGCATGAACTTCCAGTGGGTTCCAAGCATTTTTCAGGGTTGTAGTTCCACTGGGAAGATCGAGTCACAGCAGGGGCTAGTGTCTTTAAGAAATATGGTTTATTAACGCATACAGTAGTACCTCAGGTTAAGAACTTAATTTGTTTTGGAGATATGTTCTTAACCTGAAACTGTTCTTAACCTGAAGCACCACTTTAGCTAATGGGGCCTCCTGCTGCTGCTGCGCCGCCTCTGCGAGATTTCTGTTCTCATCCTGAAGCAAAGTTCTTAACCCAAGGTACTATTTCTGGGTTAGCGGAGTCTGTAACCCGAAGCGTCTGTAACCCGAGGTACCACTGTATTTACACCTGGAAGTCTGTAATGGAGGGGGTGCAGAACATTATACCCCAGGAGTGTCTCTCATTGCCCCACCCATAGCTCCAGCAAACTTGGGGCCAAAGCAGCAGTCAGTCATCTCTCAGGGCAGCCTCCTCCAGCCAGTGCCAAAATGGTGTTATGCCTACCCTTTCCAAACTGTGTTTTTAAAATGCCACAATTTTTCCTTCAGACCATGTCACCACCCACTGCCCACTGGGAACTCTCCCTCTCAGCTTACATCACAACACTGAAATCCTAAACCTGGCGTTATACAAATCATCACAACTGAGTTCACGCTCATGTTGGAAGAGACCTGTTAAGTTGTGGGTGAACACATCAGACGACACAGCGATTCTTCAAACAGCTCTTGTTTATTCACAGGCCAGAACAGAAGTGAACTGAAGGGTTCAGCCAGCCTGCTTATATAGAGCTCCACTACAACGCAACTGTAACACTTTCTGTAACTATCCAATCACTGAACGTCACTTTCAATCCCTTATTTGCATATGTGGACCTGAGTGAAAACTATCTACAGTATCCCCCTGCTGGCCCAGGGTGAGAACTTCAGTACATAACAAGACCAGTGCCAGATTTACATATAAGCTAAACAAACTATAGCTTAGGGCCCCACTCTCTTGCCGCTGCCCCCCCAGATTTAAAGGAAAAAAACCCTGATGTACATTTCCAAAATATAAGATAAAAAACAAATAAAATAAAACCTACATACAGCAACAGGATTTTGGGTTGTGTAGGTTCCTATGATGTAAGTAATGGAGCCTGCTAACCTGCTCCCTAAGATATCACTGGTTGGCTCCTTTCTGTATCTAGGGTGCCTATATTCTGCATGGACTGGCTGCATGGCAACATGTGCAAATGGCTTTAGATACCTATTAGGCCCATAAATTACCATATAGCATATATTCAACACAAAAAACAGTGACAATTTGTTGTTGACAAAGGACAGCTGGACATATAAAGGGCCCCATTACCTTCAGTAGCTTAGGGCCTCATCAAACCTAAATCCAGTCCTGGAATAGACCCAATGTTAGAAGAAGCCGCATTTGCTGAAGCAAAGGGATTTCTGCAGCAGACGCTCAATGCAAAAAAATTAAAATGGAATCTGGTGATAAGACTGCAACGTTTTATATTCTTCCAGATAAATTGGTACTATCGGTGCAGGTGGCACCTGCCATTTGACAGCAGTTGAAAAGAGAAGGCGAGGGCAGCAAATTTCAAAGGTAGGCAATCTGGGGACATCATCACACTTGTGTGTTTGATCTGTTGCTTTCTTTCGTTGATGTTGTGCTTTCCCGTATACTGGAAGTATGGAATGAAGCACACCTTGCTCTTGCGAATGGGTGTCTGGATACCATGTTGCTGAAAATCGCACTTGTGGGTTCTTACTGAAGCAAACAGTGAAAATAAGCCTCCTAAGTGCATGTATGAACCACCTTCTTCCCCAGCAAGCCAGGAACATGAGTGAGGTGTCTCAATGCTGTCTAGCAACATCACCATAGAAACAGACATGAGCAAATAAACCTGCCGGCTTTTTGGATTATTGCTCTCCTTGCATTGGCATGAATGATATAAGACATGAATGATACAAGTGCCTAAAATAGTCATTCCAAATATTGTCAGTCTGTGGAGGAATGTGTTAATACATCAAACAAACACCCTTTGTGTCAGATTATGTATTGACAATGTTTAAAGAGCAGAGGAGAAAGAGGTCTCTTGGCGGTTCCTCGCACAGCTCTAGAATTCACTTGAGCATTTGAAGACTCCGTGGAAACAACCCAGCCCTTAAATTTACTGTATTTAGGAGATAACAGAAATCACTGGGTTAAAGCTGACCAAAAGTCCAGAGGAAGCATTATTATCAATTTACGATGGGGTGGAAGCTTCACAGGCTATGAAGGACTTGCTCACAAATTTATTGACAGCTGCATGAATTATTATAGCTAGGAAGTGGAAGGGGCAAGCAGAATATAAAATGGAAGAATGGTATAAAGAAATGTGGGATATAGCTATTAATGATAAATTAACATGTGCCATTAAGGTAAGACGGAATATGCAGGAGAAATGATTTTGAGGAGATATGGAGGGTGTTTGTAGACCTTGTATTGTTAAAATGGAAAAGGGTCAAACCATCACAAGAAGTGTTAAAATTTT